ATATTACCACAATTATGACACTTAACTTAAGCTCTGCTGATTGTTTTCCTCTGGTATTTTAAGGCCTTCATGTCTTTGAATTTTATTATTCTTTGCATTTTTGTATCTTCCTTTTATGTGAGCTATTTTGAAAATTTCACTAAATAAAGGATAGCATAGAAAAATTCTGTAATGCAAATAAAATAAAAAAAATAGTTGCTGCCTCTATGTAAACAGAAATGGACCAGAATGAGCAGGAAGAAAAGACACCATTAATGTAGTAGTGCCTGCTTGTGTAAACAGCGATTGCTGATGCAGAATAAAGATCCCAAAGAAACTACCTTGAAATAACATTGGATATTGCAAGTGGTGGGCAAAATTGTCTGAGTTATTATTAAAGCTGTCTTTTAGTGCTGTATAATGTCTTAAGAACTGCACATGGTGGTAATTTCAGATGTTAAACCTTTGCTTTGCAGAGTATGTTTTCCTGGAAGGTATCTTGTTTCTGTTCATTTGAACGTTTCTGCTTTTCATGATCCTTACAAAGCTTCACTCTTCATATGTAACAAAACCTCAGATTGCCTAAATCAGCTATGCCTTGTCACTTGTGTAACTACAGTTTCCTTCACCTAGTACTCTTAGTGTTGGGAAAATACCTGATATTGTCCCTACATAAAGTCCTCCCCCCCCCCAGAAACCTCAGGGAAATTCTTAGCAGACTGGGGTAGATGGGGGGCATTTTTAAATTCTTCTTTTCTTCCTTTCCTGTTCAGCAGAACCTATAAAGCAGTGATTCCCTTTTCTAACTATACCATATTGATTTTTTAATACCAGGCTTTCTGTCACTAGGTGTTTGTTTTAGTTCAAACACTGTGCTTTTAAAATGTACTTTCCATCTACCTTTTTAAAACAGGCATGCGATGTATGGTCCTGTCATGAGGACTCGCATACCTCATGGTCCCATCACTTTTCTTTGCACACACTGTCTCTGAGGGTCTCCTCTATACTTTAGATTTTTGTTCATTTGTTTTGTGCTCCTTCAGACATGCAGAAAAGGCACACAACACTGTTCTCCTGACTGCATTTTGAAGTGTTATAATATTGTGAGGACTGTATGATGTACTGCTTCTATAGGTCCCAACTGGTGTGGAGTAGAGCATTCAGGTTCACACATGACTGTAAGGCCTGCTTCCATGCCCTTGAGAAGCTCCTCAAGGAGGCAGTTAGCAAATGCTTTTTTGCTGCTAGAATGTGGGTAAACATGCCCTTACAGGAACATGAGAGGTTTTTCGTTAAGGTGAGCAAAACAACATTAACAAAATACTCTGCAAGAGAATGTTCAGGATTGTTCATTTTAGTGATGATGATCATGACCTTACTGAAAAGATCACCCTGAGGGATGGTGGTGGCAATGAAGATAGACTTTTGGGATTGCATTGCATCTGTTGCAACCTGAGTTCCCTTAGGGCCAGGTCTGACTTTACTTTTTTCTATTTATTTAAGTCTTAAATAACTGGGGGTATAGGTAGGAAAACAAAGGGGAAAGGTTGCAGGCCTTTAATGTTGGAGCTGTTGTTATGTTGTCGTTGTTATATTTATTTATATCCTGAACTCCAATTCTGTTGTATCTCTTTCCAATCTACCTTTGTAGTTCTTTTGTTCAAGGACCACTATTCTGAGGTCTGAGATGGAATGACCAGGGAGATTGAAATGTTCAGCCACTGGTTTTTGTGCATTCCCATTCCTAATGTCTGATTTATATCCATTTATTCTCTGGTGTAGGGACTGGCCTGTTTGCCCGATGTAGAGTGCATACTGTGATGACACAGTATGGCATAAATCACGTTGGAGGATGAGCACGTGAAGGTTCCCCTAATATTGTGGGGGATGCCATTAGGTCTTGTGATGACATTTCCTGGATTAATGTGCGGGCAGAGTTGGCATCTAGGTTTGTGGCAAGGCTTAGTACCTGTGTCCCCATCTGTGTCATGTGTCTTCCTGTGAGTGAGTACCTGTTTGAGGTTTTGAGGTTGTCTGTAGGCAAGTAAATAATAATATAATAAAATTTATTTCTATCCCGCCCCTCTGCAGCACAATTGGGGCAGCTTACAACGATAAAATGATAAGTAAAGGTCTGCCAGCCAGCCTTGAAAGAGTGGCATTATTGTCCAGAATGGGTTGTAGTTCATTGATAATGTGCCTGAGAGGTTCCAGTTGGGAGCTATATGTGACCACTAGTGGAGTTCTGTCATTTTCTTTCTTCAACTGTTCTGTAATAGATCAGTTCTGGGTACAAGGCTTGCTTTGTTTGTTTGTTTTTACTTTGTGTGATGGATACTATAGTCTGAGGAATCGTTGTTGTAATTCCTTGAGTTTGTCATCCTTGTCTTGTGGGTCTGAGCAGATGCGATTGTATTGGAAGGCCTGACTGTAGATTAAGGATATGGTGGTGTGTTCAGGATTGAAACTGGAGACATATAAGTACATGTAGCGTCAGTGGGTTTGTGATATAGTGTGGTGCTTAAATGTCCATTTTGTAGCTGCACTGTGGTGTCCAGAAAGCGAACTTATGGAGTTCATCCCTAAACTACAGTCCCTCAACAATGTATTGAAGAGGGACAATCCTCATTTCAACACTATCTGACACCATCCTCATGGGGCATCCTACACTTGTCTATCCTCCCCACCTGCAGGCTGGTTTCCAAGGCCAAACTGGTCTTGCCACCTCATTTCCATGCTCAATGGCTATGTCTTTGTCCACAAGAGACCATCATTAAAACTGGACTTGCTATTTCATTTCCATACACGAAGGGTTATGAATTTGAATTGATATTCTCACATGCCAAGGGTATATATATTTCTGTCCCTGGCTTCCACTCCACCAAAAGCATTTGAAGTCAATGAAGTCTACAAAAGCTCATGCTGCCAACTTCTTTCTTTAGTTAGTCTCAAAGGTGCTACAAGATCTCTCTACATTGAACATGAACTGTGTAGGCTCTTGCTGAAGTATTTGAACTGGCTCAAGGCCTGTTTCCAACTTTGTAAGTGGATGGCATATACTTAAGAGCCATTGATGACATTGACCATTCTCATGTTGTTGTTTTTTAAATATTCTTAGGCAGCCCATCTGTCCATAGTGTCTCTCCTTCTGTGAAGATGTTTCTGGCCTAAAATACAGTATTAGGCTTCCCTGCTTAGGTGCATTGAGAACATGGTTCCTTGTCTCAGGTAAACAGGCAAATGGATATTTATAAGCCTTTTTGAAGTTGTTGTTTGGTGCATTCCGGTCCTTTCCAACTTATGGTGACTCTTAAGGCCATAGAGCTGAGAGTGTGTGATTCTCAGCCCAGGGTCACCCAGTGGTTTCTATGGCCAAGCAGGGAATTGAACCCTGGTCTCCAGTCGTAGTCCAACACTCAAACCACTACATTACACTGGCTCTCTTTTTAAAGGCTTTAAAAAAAAACAACCCACGGCCAGTGACTTCAAACAAGGCTCCAGATCTTGAGAATGGTCTAACGGCTGATTTGTTTTATGTTTCTTGGTAGATAAAAACAAATTTTGACCATGCTGCTACAAAGGATGGTGTCTGAGATGTTGGAAATGGAGGCTCTGTGTACTCTACCTGTATAATTCATACACCTGTGCCATTTCTCATAAGAGCAAATGCTAGTGCTATTACTCATTGGCTAAAACCTTTGCCTTAGATGACCTACTAGGCCTTGGAATGAGAAGTAAAGAGTGGTGGTTGATAGAAGAATGGTTGTTTATGCATTTGTTCTCTCTGTTTGTCTACATGTGTGTACAAGTTAGAGTTAACATTTCTAAATATATTTTTTTCTATTTATTTTATTTTATTGCAGTTTTAACAATAAACATTTTGGCCTCTATAGACAAACACAAAGAAATAAACATAATTGTGGGGAGGATTAAATACATTCACATGCATTTAAATTTGGATACATTGAGATGTAACCTGGAGAAGTGAAATACCCCCACAACAAAGGCATATATGCCATTAAGGAAGATGTACATCTTATTCTTTCTGCTTGCATTGGGAAACTTTTTAAAAACAAGTCCTAAAGTGTGATATTTTAGGTTTTTCACTGGGGACAGTGGTGTGCTCTAGAACAGCTTTTGTTCATGAAGAGAGGGGGGAAGAAAGTTCAGTTGCATAAATTGACTTTTGTTTGTGTGATTCTAGATTTCGCCCATCTTTGGGTATGTTTTGTTTTCAGAAAGAGAACTCAGAATAGTATAAGCATCTAAATTAGCTTCCCTGATTCAGTTTTTGCTGGACTAAATTTAATCTAACATGATACATCCAAGGAGAGCCAGCATGGTGTAGTGCAGGGTTAGGTGAACTAAGGCCCAGGGGCCGGACATGCCCCCTCTCAATAAACCTTTCTAAGAAAACCTTATGGTAGGGTTGCTGTAAGTCAGAATCAACTTAAAAGCACATAACAACAAATGTTACCTTAAAGGACTAAAACATCCCCAAAGCAAGGATTTAGTTAAATGTTTCAGGATGCTTTTTTGATGCTGTGCATGGGCTGCAGAGGGAAACCTGTAAACAGTAACGTTGGCTGAAATTTGGAGACACTGTACACTACTATGTAGGTGACAGCCTCCTAAAATGATGTTACTTCAGGTCTATCTGTATATAAATTATGCAGTGAAAAGTGGAACTGGACTGGAATTTGCTCCACAATAATGGACAAAGTTTTTAATTCAGTCCAAAGTTCCAAGTGTGCTCTGTAGATTCTAGGCTAAATAGTTTCTTCTTACTGCTTAATTTAGTAGGCAAATAATGTGACCTCTCAATGATACTGTTTCTTGTCACAATAGTGCTACTTCCAGAATGCCTTGTGTAAGAAGAGTAGACTGGGAATGAAGGCAGTTTTAGATGAGCCCCTACCATGCTCTGTTATGTGGCATTTTGAGCATGTCATGTTGCCTTGCAAAAGTGATGACCCACTTTTCAGCAGTATTGTGAAGACTGAAGAGATGGGGTCTAGGGGTAGTCTTGGGAAAAGTGAAATGATTGAAAAGCAGGGGATTAAAATGCAAGGGATCTAATCTGATCGTGAGAACGCTGAGAGACTGATGTGTCAGCTTTTGAATTTGCCTGCAGGTGTCGAGTATCTGCAGCACATCCCCTTTCTTTGTCCTAACAAAACTGCCAGTGACTAAGATACTTGTACGTACCAGATCCCCCAAAGCTAAGAAAACGCCAAACCTAAATTTAAGAAAGTACAGATGTGCAGCTGTCCAAGGTGCTCAAGTGCCTGGCCTCAATGTAAAGAGGCAAAGTCTCACCACTCTGTTATGTATAATGCAGATTTATTTATTCCACATTCCTCATTAATAAAGATAAGAAATACATAGAGTGGGAGAATGTGTCCCTGTTATTTTTTTATATTAAAGTTAAATCTACAGTTGTTTCATTTGAAATTGCTGACTACAATAGATTCTATCCTATACTCATGCTTTCTTATGCATATGAGTAGCTGAGTGACCAGCAAGCTAGTGCCTAGATCAGGGGTAGGCAACTTTTCCCCTTTAAGGGCCAAGGGACTTCAGCTCCCAGAATCCCAGGAGCTATTGGCCAACGTGGGACTATTGGCCAACATAGCTGAGGCTTCTGGGAGCTGAAATCCCTCGGCCCTTAAAGGGGAAAGGTTGCCTACCCCTGGCCTAGATAGTATTAACCCAAGCGTACTTAGATATATATTCATCTCCTTATGTGAGATACTTGTCCCTCTCCCAAGTCATTTGGTAGAATGGATCGGATAGGCTTCTGGGTCTGTTGGACTTCTTGGCATTCTGTGTACCTGGGGTTTGGGTGGAGGATGGGTGCTAAGTAGCAGAAACTTTTCTAATGAAACTCTTATTTTAAATTTGTGAAAGTGCATTGGACAGTTCTAGGGATGTGGGACTCACTGTTGGGTCAGGCCTTGCTAACATAGCCTCCCTAATGCTATTTCTTCACAATGTCCTCTGTTGCAATCATGTTTTGTGCATTTGGAATAGTTTCTGTAAGAGAGACTGAACAAAGTGCTGTCTGGGGCCACAAGTACAATCTTATGGGGCTACGTGTGTTAGGGTTGCCATATCTAGTCCCTCATAACTAGGTATCTAATTTTCATTTTATGCAAATTATTATGATTATGCATATTAATTTGCATTCTGATTATGCAAACTCACCACATTAATATTGCACTTTTTCTACCCTTATGTTTCAACCTCAGTACCAGTACCAACTAAAAGGTCTTTTTCCCTTCTTTCCTCCCCAACTGGTGTGATGAGAAGGAGGCTTCCAAATTGCCCCAGACAGTAAAAGCACTCTGGGCCTTTGCAGACTGCCAGAAATAGTGCACATTAAATGGAGGCACTGCCCTGGATCAGTGCTAAGGAGTCGTGGGAATTGTATTTTTTTCTGAGACATTGAGCCTTCTCTGTCAGAGAGCTCTGGTGCCACAATAAACTATAGTTCCCATGATTCCTTAGCACTGAGCCAGGGCAGTGCCTCAATTTAATGTGCACTATTTCTGGCAGTCTGCAAAGGCCCTCCCTTTACTCTCTTGAGGCTGTTTGGAAGTGAACTTCCTGTGCTGGCTAAATGCCGTAATAAAGAATTGTTTTGTTTGTTTGTTCTTTCACACATTTGAAGTGAAGTTCCACTCTGCTGCCTAGCCCTAAGCTCAAGCCGCCAACACAATCACCACAGAAAACAAGGCCATCTCTGCTTGCCTCCTTTCCTTTCCTACCTTCTGGGCTTGTTGGGGAAATGGGGAGGGAATGGAAGAATAAGGTAGCAATGCTACCCTTATGCAGTAGCAACCAGAGCCTGCAGGGCAGGATGAGGCTCCAGCCAGTGCCAGTCTTTTTGCATGGTTTTCTGCTTCATCGTCATTGCCACATTTTAACCCTACCCTACAATGCAGAAGAAATCCAGGATTTACTGCTTCAACTGACCCGGTTGGCTTGGACATTTTTTAGTCCCTTCAATCCAGGTTTTTCCAGGTTGTTTGGGACAAATGGCAATCTTTTGTATGTGGCCACAGGGCTGTATTGGTTCTAGGACCCTCTGTGAATACCAAAATCTATGGATGTTCAAGTCCCAATAAATACAATGGCATATCAAAATGGTGCTCTTTATATAAAACACAGTAGCTCAAGTGGTTAAGACACTACTCTGTTGATTGCAAGATCGGCAGGTTGGCAGATTGAGGCCTGGGTGAGCTCCCATCACTAATCCCAGCTTCTGCCAGCCTGGTAGTTTGAAAGCATGCAAGTGCAAGTAGATAAATAGTGGGAAGGTAAACAGTGTTCTGGCCACATGATCATAGGGTAGTCTCTGACAATGCTGGCTCTTCGGCTTAGCAATGGAGATGAGCACCGCCCCCTATGGTTGGACAAGACTTGACAACCTTGTCAACGGGGAATAGCCTTACCTTTACCTTTTATAAAAAATAGCAAAATTAAGGTTTGCTTTTTGGAATTTATGTATTTTTTGAATCTTTTCAAGCAGTGGATGCTTGAATCTGTGGATAAAAATAGTTTGTAGTAACTGTAGTAACTTATTTCTTCTTCCTCCTGACTCTTCTGTGATTTTTTTTAAAAATAGTGATAATATAAATAAACTACATGCCATTGCTTTTTTAAAAAACAACTATGATTGTTTGTAGTACCAGTTTGTTGATAACCACAAGGTCAGTATGGAAGTCAAATGGAAACTGAAAAGGAATCTATGTTAAGTTTCAGAGAGCTAAGCTATGAGGAATGTGGACACAAGGGGAAAGTGGGTCTGTCTCTTTAATTTCCCGTATTGTTAGAAAGCTCTTCTGTCTCAGCTGAGAACAAACTGTGAGCCACAATAAAATGGCATCTAGTGCTATAGAAACACACCACACATGGGATGTAATTGCTGGACTTTGATGTCAAAAAGGGCAGTGATTTCCTGTTGTGTTCCATTTAAATGGTGTTGTTGGAAAAGCAATTGAAAACCTGGCTAAATAGGAGCAAAGGATGCCATTAAAACACAAGCAAATGTCACTGAGAAAATAGGAGACCCAGCAAAAGTTTTACTTGTACAGAGAGGTGGATGAGGCTTTTCTTTATGGATATATTTTGTCAGCCTCTTTCCTTCGCTTATATGACATAAGAAATAAATTTTCTTCTTACAGGGATACAAAGAAGCAGATCAACTTTGTATAAATATGGATATGTATCAAATTGTCTTATATACTGAACCTTTGGTTTCATTCATTGCTTTAGAAGGCTTGGGTTCAAACATTTCAGTGTGTCCACATGAATTCTCTCCAAGATTTAGGTAGCAATCTGTGTTGTCAGTGCAGAATAAACAAAACATGCGTATGCACCTTTGGGGCAAAGGAAAAAACACTGACTTTTCTCACAACACAAATGTATGAAAAA